ACATTGAATTTTCGCATAGCCTTGCTTTCTCAAAAGTTATTCTCATCCAGGCACCAGTGGACTGCAGTTTCGACCTTAGCGGGAGTCGAACTGCGACAGTGCAGGATGGAAGCTTGACACGCTAACCATTCGGCTACACTGCCACAGAAAAAAAAGTGAATTCCAAGGAAGGCCAGGCCTTTTGTCATATCATATTTTTTGGTGGAATTGTTGATGAAGCAAACGTATATCTGCTATAGCAATCGACTACTATACTTTTATTTTTAGAATTAAGTATTACTGATTTACTGTTAGTCGCGAAAAAATACTTAATTCGTTTAAAGTAGTCTCGAAACTCTGCCTATATCGATGTGAAGACCAAGATGGTGTGACCCCCGTTATGGTCGCAGTCTCCTTTGGATTTATAAAAGTGTGTTGACCTCGTTTTCGCAACTTGGTCTTGTCGTCAGGGCAACTCAGTAGAAGGCGGTCCAGGGTCTGATGCTGGGAATTATGATAACTACTATGGCAGAATACTACTGACAAGGTGCATTTTACTAAGTCGCTCCGACAACAAGACCAAGTTGCGAAAACGAGGTCAACCCACTTCTGGTTATATAACTTCACCTAATCAGCCTCAATGTGATATTAATTTCACGGTGAGATTAAAAAAGTATAATAGTTGGATTTCCTGATTAGTAAGGAAAATTTTAAATTAGACAGAAATGTTTATATGCAACTAAAATATGATTATACCTTTTTGAATTTTTTTATCACACTTGTTACATACTAAGTTTAAAATTTTTTAGTATTAGTAGTATGAGGCTTGCTGATAGAAATGACTTTACTGGAGGGTTAGATAAGTTGAAACACTTATTATCAGAAAATAATTATCCTTTGGGCTTGATTTAAATTATTGTTTTATCAATAAGAAATAAGTTTTTCGATGGAGACAATGTGGTGAGGGATAGGCAAGCCGAGGCCATTTTTCATGTCAAATATTCCTGTAATGCCTACTTTATAAGGAGGCAGGCAAGGTACGCAAGTTTAGAAAAGCTAGTGAATTTACTAGATTATGAAATACATTAAATGCAGGCAAGGAATGGAGGTAGGATGCTTCGTAAGCTCTAATTATACTTGATTGATAAACGGAAGGAGAGAGAGAGGGTGTTGACTCACCGACTAACATTCGTTCAATTGTTTTGTTGAGCGTATCAACCGAACCAGACGTACCAGTTTACGCAATACAAGCCATGCCTTCCCCTGACTCAGTAAAATTTAATGACCTTTATCTGATGAGTTATGACTGGTGGTTTCACATACAAACTTTCACATGTACAGGCTCTTAAGCAAACATAATTTTGGGGCATCATAATACCGACCGTGATTTTACCTGGGTCATTAAACTCTGATGGCAGAAATTGGTGCCAGGCTCTTTCGTAGTTATTCCGAACTATGACTAGTACTTCGGATTTTCAACTAGAAATTGCAGAACTAACACCCGCACACTCTCACACACATACACACTACACTGACTGACATAAGAAAGAACTTGCCAAATTATTTTATATCTTTGTATCTCTATCTCTATATAATCGTTTTTAGTTGTGATTCTACAGACAGGTCGTAATTAATGAGTTCAGATATTGTGAAATTTGATTTATTATGAGTCACAAATTGACACCAGGCAGCCTGTAGTACGAGCCAGAATTCCCCTTATCATGTTCAAGATTACACGTTAGCAGACCAGACAGATACGTTATTTTTAGAAAATTGCCCTCTATGCACGTATTAAGGCTTGTCATTCCATCCAATTTTGCATGTACAATAGAGTAAATTAGAAATCATACAATATCGTCTTGGTAACTATCGACAAAAGGAAGAATACTAAACGAAATGTTTAATGTGAGCGATTGGTGAATGCAATAGAAGAAAAATTTGGTGATAGCAATCTTAAAAATGTAAGGAAAAATGATGTCAACACATATGACTAAACCATAGAAACAATTTGGCTAGTATTTGCAAAATGTTTAAATTTGTTAATGTAAAATAATTTTTATGGATTAAACAGTTTTTAATTAAATATGTTGAATTATACTGTTTTTTAGATGTGGTCTTTAATTGTTCCTCCTATACAGTATAGCTTTCTCTCAAATAACTCTTTGGTTTAAACTCCTTTTTCATTATCCTTGGCCATTTATGCTACAATAAAAAAGGGAGGAAAAATTCAATTTTAAAATGTTTATTTAACTCTTTTAATGGGAGTGAACCAGTAACCTTATAATTGTTTTGCATAGTTGATTTTGTTGATTTTGAAGTGACGGAATAGTCGGACTAATCACGTGTGTCTGTATAGACAGCATCCAGAATTGAGATGACTAATCTTCTTGACTTGAAGCTTTTTTATCGTATTCCATTTGTAAATATCTTCATCAGTCACTATGACGTGGAATAAAAGTCAATTGAACAATATTCACTCAGGATATTTATTGAAACTCATCTACTTTTCGTATAAGCATAAAAAGGCTCAATTAGTTTTATTTCATGTTTTGCATGCGCGAATGAGAAGACGGAGTCTCAGAATCAAGTTAGAAAGCATCCATTTTGTAAGATGCATGCTTCACTTTAATGCAACCCTTTTATTTGGCATTTTAACTTCTTCAAGGCCTGAGAAGTGTTGGGCCTATATGAAATTTTAGTGTACCTGAAGAAGCACTGATTCGTTTAGTGTGTTGAATGTTGGATTTCAATTCAAACCTATCAAGTCATATGCCCAGTTCCCCTTAACTTCTTTTACCCTTTTCAGACACACCCCGCTCTACCTCTGCCTCATGATTCTGCTTTCGCCTCAAGACATTTTGGCCGACAAAATGGACGACGCTGTTGCCACTGCCGATTTTGCTGACTGCTCTGTAGGCCGGAAGGAGAACACCGCGACCGGTGGAGACAGAGCTGGTCTACGACTCCGGCAGTGGCCACGGTCGAGCAGAAACTCAGCCAAACGCGAGCGATTTCCGTTGTCGGGCACTGGTGATCGTGAAAAGGCATTGACCTGTTTGGCTCTGTTAATCGAAGCACAGACCAGTCTGGGCGTCCTCGATCAGAGGGTCAGTATCACATTATTGTGGAGGCTTTTATTTCCTATGAAGATGTATGATGAAGAGATTTTCAGGTGGATCACACCGGAAGACGATGGCTGATTCCTATTGTTCTATGAAATGTATTCACCCTATTTCGTCTAAGGTGATAAAGGACTGGTAGAAGAAGAATTTTCATATAATGATATGAATTGAATTTCACATGACCTTGCTTTCCCAAAAGTTATTCTCATCCCGGCTGAAGTGGACTGCAGTTTCGGTCTTATCAACACCCTCATCGGAAGTCGAACCGCGACAGTGCAGGATGGGAGCTTGACACACTAACCACTCGATCACATTGTCACGAGTGCCCTGGGTCGTAGGGCAGGTGTGAATTTCAAGGAAGATCAGACCTCTTTTGTTATATCATATTCTTTTTTTCGTGGGAGTGCCGATGAAGCAAACGTATATTTGCTATACGTTACTTATTTTCGTAACAAATAACAAATAACGAATATAATTGTTGTAATTATCCGGCTTCATATTCCCGTATGCCTGAAAAATTTACAAAATGTATAGTTGCTTGCTTCAGTTAACTGCACTTATCATAAAACTTTTCTCTTGATTTCCAAGTGCTTCTTGATCCTCGCTTCGCCCTTTTGCTAATATTGACGTTGCCCGGTTTACTCACAGTTTGCTTCAGTGATGGACAGAGTTCATGCAAATCCTATATTCTTCCAGTCTCCTTTCGATTAAGTTTCCTTCGAAAATGATATCGACGGCCTCCCTAATCTTCCACTTTCTTATATTTTCTTCTGTATGTTTTCTTTCAGTTGACTTCTTGCCTATTCTGTACATTCTGTTGCGCTATTTCTGATCCTTCTGAATCTACTTTTCGTAGAGCCTTCGGTGTTTCATGATTTGTTAGCTCATAGTCGCCTCATGTTAGACCGTAAACTTTCTAGCAATCCAATCTGTCTGCCTTTCTATGTTGGTTGGGTAATCTTGTTAAGAGTGCTGTTTTTTTTGTTTTGTGATGATTAGAATATTCCAGCTTTCTAATAATGTTTGCAATTTATGGGTAAGTTCGCGGAAGGGTAGGCACATCTTCTTTATTGCATCTTTCTCTATCCTTATTTTTCTCTCATAATTCCCATCATGTTATCGGATTTTCACGGCCCGTATGCTACTTTGGGAGGCTTGTCTTTAGTTTCCGTTGCAGAGAGAAATCCAAGTCAATTTTGCCAATTCTTAACATCTAAACTTTATTTATGTTA